GCGGCGTGGGGCCGGCTCCCCTTCTCCCCGGCCAGCCCAGGCCGATAGCCGTCCGTCCCGAAGGGCCGAGCCAGGGCCCTCCCAATGTCCGCGCCCCCTGCCAGCACCCGGGATGCGCCTCCAACTCTGGTCCCTGCCTCTCCTCGAATTCCCACAATAAAATCGCCTAGGTAGGGCCGGTGACACTCCCCTTCTCTGCCTCGGTGGCAGCCGCCATCACAGCCCCCCTCTCTCCCCACTTCCGGCAACAACAGCAAGCACTTCCGTCCGCCAGGGGCCGCCCGGCGGAAACTCACAAACGAGCTCCTATAAGCCCCGCCTCTTCCTGACAGCCTCAGTAACTTGGAACCAATCCCTGCCCCGTTGGGCAGTGAGATGCATTCGATTGGGCGAATCTTGCGCAGCCGCAAACGGTCACGGGGCGGGGCGGAGCGGGGCCGGATTAAAGCCGGGAGGAGCTAGTTGGAAAGCGTTCAAACGTATCTTCCCTGACTTTCTTACCTCATGACGGCATTTGCTACGTGACACTATTTTAATTATCTTTAATTCACTTATGTAAGATATTTTCCTTCTGTGTGTATTCGTTTTCCATTTCGTCCATCAGCGTTTTTGACTGCAGGAGAACAGGAATCTCGCCATCTTGTTCACTCAATGTTTCCCGTGGGGAAAGGGAGCAGAACTAATAGTGATGCTCCAGTTATTAAGATAATTCAGTAAGGTGCTGGATACAAGAGGAGTATATGAAAATTACTTTTTCTGCACCAACTGCTAATTAGATATAGAAACGACAATCTAGAGCTCGATTTTACTTTGTTTGCTTTTTTGGAACTGGAGAATAATGTAACCAAAACCTTACAGTTGAACCTACGAACTGTATTGGTAAGACCAAAGAAACACGGAGTCTACAAATATTTCCAGTAGGGCTGAAAGTTAGTCCAACCCCTAGGGAAGGCAGTGTCTATTTTGTGTCTGACACAAATGTCACACTTCTGGGAATTTATCCTACAGATACAATTACATGGGTATAAAAATGACATACACAAGGCTATTCATTTATTTTTGACAATAACAAAAAAATTGAAACAACTCAAATGTCAATAAAAAATGTTCAAAATAATTATGGCACTTTGAGTGAAAAGCTGTGAAAAGGAATGAGGTGTCTCTATATACTAATTTGAAAAAGTCTTGAAATAGACCAAATGAAAAATACAAGGTGCAGAAAGGGGCAAGGTGTACACAGGTGCTGTATTTAGGGAGTAGTAGGTAGGGTTAAGGTTAATAATACATTTTGGGGGCCAGTTGGCATGGAGGTTAAAGAGCTGGATCCCACATGACCTACTGATCAGTTCAAGCCCAAGACCTGGTGGCCTGAAAAACATGTTGTTTGTGTGTACCCAACATCCCAAGAGGGGAGTGGAGAAAAGAATTATAGTGTGGCCATCTTCCCTGGGGGGTTGCTTTCTCACTTTCTCTCACTCTCTTTTTCTCTCCTTCCCACTCAGCCACTGTTTCCTGTGAGCACACATACCCTACAGCAAACATTTTTTAAAATTAGATTCTTTTCTTTTCTTTTTTTTTTTTTTTTGGAGAAGTTTTTGCTATAAGGGCACATGCACTCTCCAGAAAAACAGAAAGTGAGAAATCACCTCCCATGAGGGATGGCCACGCCACAATCTATTCTCCTCTCGGGATCTTGAGCACGCACGCACATGCACCTGGTATGAGTTTAAGCCACCAGGTCTGGGACTCAAACCATGGTTGACTACATGGGAGACCAGCAACATAGCCATTACATCAACTGCTGGTCCCCAAATTAGATTCTTATCTAACAGAATATGGATAGATAACATCAACAGTCGGGAAATGAGAAGTAAAACAATTATATGTGATTTTATGTCTCTCAGATTGTAAAAAAAAAAAATAGAATCAAATCACAAGATTCCAGAAACATACACGTCTAGGCATTACTTTTTTTTTTTTTGAGAGATTTTCACTATAGGGCGCGTGCGCTCGCCAGACAAGCAGAGAGAGACAGAGAGACAGCGAGAAATCACCCCCCCAGGGGGGATGGCCACACCGCAATCCCTTCTCCATTCTCCTCTTGGGATCTTGGGATCTTGGGCATGCACGCACACGCGCCCAGCGTGACTTCCAAGCCACCAGGTCCGGAACACGAACCACGGTCGACTACATGGGAATCCAGTGACATAGCCATTACGCTAACTGCTGGTTCCCTAGGCATTACTTTTAAGAATAGAAATTTAGGGACCAAAAGATGGCACAGTAGTTAAGACACTTGACTCCCACATGGCCAACCAAGGTTTGAATCTCAAACCTAGAGACTTGCTTTCTGACTTTCCCTCTGTCTTTCTCTCCCTCTGGTCAAAGTAAAAATAAGTTAATTAAATTAATAATTATTTTTTTAAAAGAATGGAATGGACCAGCAGTTAGCATAATGGCTATGTCGCTGAACTCCCATGTAGTCGATCGTGGTTCATGTCCTGGACCCAGTGGCTTAAATTCACGCTGGGTGTGTGTGCGTGTGTACCCAAGATCCCGAGAGGAGAATGGAGGAGAAGGGATTGTGGCGTGGCCATCCCCCCTGGGGGGTGATTTCTAGCTTTCTGTCTCTCTATCTTTCTGGCGAGCTCACGCACCCAATAGCAAAAACCTTTAAAAATAGATAGATAGATAGATAGATAGATAGATAGATAGATAGATAGATAGAATGGAAATTTTAGAAATAAAGGATAGTTATTGAAATTAAAAGTATTGTGTTAGCAGGTGGCATGGTGGTTAAGACAGCTGGATCTCACATGGCTGATAGTGTGGTTTGCACCCTGAACCCAGTGACTTGAGAAACACACCGGGCATATGTGCACACATGCCCAAAGTCCAAAAGAAAGGAAGAAATGGAAGAGAAGGCATGACCGTGCCTCATGTAGGGTGCTCACTCACATGTCCCCCTTTCCTGCCCCCACCCCATCTCTCTCCAAGGAATTCATGTACCATCTGGCAACTTTTTAAAAATTTTCATTATTCGAGACCTTTTACTGCAGCAATAAATCTGTCACAAAGACTTCAAGACCCATTTAATTCTTCCATACTAGAAAGATTTTGA